CATTCGTATGTGTTATACATAGTTTAGTAAATGTATTTTTTTTTTGTTTTTCCTCTTTTTGTTTTTTGCCTCATTTAGTTGCTTTGCCAAAAATTTTTAATGTATACAACATATGACTTTCTTAGCATAGAGTAAAATTTGTGTAATTATTTTTTATGTTTAAATTTTTAAAGATCAAAAGATTTTAACTTTACATTAAATGTGCTCCACTTTCACTTCGTGTTTAGATTTAGCGCATATTTACAAAAACCGAAAAAACCAAATGAATTTTTTCCTGTTTTACAACCGAACTTTTGGGACTTATTTTTTTCGTTTATTTTGAAGCCAAAAAATTGTGTTGCAAATTAAATTTGTTTTTGTAAATATCTCAAAATGAAAACAAAAGCCAAAAGGTTTGTGTGTGTGTGTGTGTGTGTGTGTGTGTGTGTGTGTCTGTGTTTGCAGTCGTATGTGTGTGTAAGTGTGTGTGTGTTTCGACAAGACTTTAAAGAAAGTTTTGTGTTTTATTTGTTATATATTTAAACATATTTTTGTTTTTTGCTATATGCGCAGTCTATTGGGGCCCATTGAGGTAGTTTAGTTAACTATTGCAGTTCGATATATTTTGTTGTTGTTGCTGTAATTATTCTATTGTTGTGTGTGTGTGTATGTGTGCGTGTGTCTTTTGCTTTAATATTTAAGCTTAGTTTAGGTAGAAATAAAAACTAAAACATAAAAATACATAACTAAGAACTAAAGCTGTTTTCTTTTTATTTAGCATCTTCGAATGAACTTTGAACTTTATATAGTATGTATATAAAGTAATTTGAAACAAAGTTATAGTTTCTGATTTCTGAGGTATATGAGTTCCTGAGTTTGATTTACATATATGCACACGTTTATATGCATAAAGTCTAAAAATAAAAACTTAAAATTATATATATTTTTATTTAGTATTAACTCTCTAATTTTTCTTTGTGTATGTGCCACGCCCAGAGCGGATTGCGTACGCCGTACGCCCACCAGGACAGCAAAACGTACTTAAAAAATAATATGTAATTCAGACTCCAGAGAACGTTTTGCAGCCAGGCTAGCGCAGAGGCGGCAAAGCAATGGGCGTGGTCCGCGGGGGCTGGCTGAGCGAGTGTGTGTGCGTGTGTGGGTGTTTGTAGGGTTAAATTACAGGGTATATATATATGTGTATTTTAAAATAAAATTATTGCAATTATTTCTCAATATTTTTTTCTCTTTTCTTGCTGTTCGAGTTTTTCAAAGTTGGGATCGAAGAACTATATAAAGATATACATATATATAAATACATACATATATATATATATGTTTATAAGAGAATTATATCGAATGAAACAAAACTAAAAAAATAAAATAAAAGCAAAACAAAAATAACTTTGCAACGCGTCAAACGCTGCAGATCACAGAACAAACTGGTTTTCAAGTTTGGGGGGGGGGGGGGGGGAGGAGAACGTTTAAGGACTACACAAGAAAAATATATGCCGCTGAGCTGCTCTATGCGATTCTCAAAGCGAACAGGTTGTATGTAAGTGTGCGTATATATGCTCTATTGTATATTGTAACTAGATTTCTCTTTTGATTATTGTGAATACTATATTTTGTCAGCTATTGTAGTTGTGTGGTGTGTGTTTGTGTGTGTGTGTATATATGTTTATCACCCTGTATTTATATGTAAAATGAAAAATCTAGCAAATAACCGGAAAATTTGTGTGGGAAAAAATCTTTAAAAAATTAGGAAAAGTTAATGGGAAATGAAAAACTACTTGCAAGCAACTTTTGGCGAGCCTAAGTGTTTCCTACATATGCGCTTTACATATACATACATATATATATATATGCATACATGTACATGCATGGATATATATACATATATATTTCATTTCACGTACTACACCCCACAGCAGTAGTAGGGGCATTCCATTCCTTATATTCAACTTTTACAACTGAATCTTACACTCTAAAACTCTGCATTTTCTTTTGCGTTTGTGTTTTCTTCTTGTTTCCTTTATGCTATATACAGGTGCCACGCCCACAGTGGGAGGCGTTGGCTATTTTATGTTTCACTTTGCTTTGCTTACAACAAATATGTTTTCAAATCATTTTCTTTTTACAGCATTTTTTGTTTGTTTTGTTTTGTTACAAAAATCATATTGAGAGCCGAAAAACTGAATTTTGAATTTAAATGAATTTGGATATTTAATAAAAATCAAAAATTTAGTTTTGTTTGAAAAATGTTTTCGAAAGGTGTGCCAAAATTTTAGATTTTGAATTTTTGTTGTCAATTTTTGCTTGCTGTTTGTTGTTGTTGTTTTTGTTTGAGAACGTTTTTGAGAGGTTTGACATTCGTTTCATTATTTTCATTTAACAAGTTTCATTATTTTTGTTTTCCTTTTGCTATAATTATTATTTATCTTTACTTTAGTTCATTATTTAAATATATAAAAGCATTTCTTTTTATAAAATTTTACTAATAGTTTCGTTTAATTTTATATACTTTTTATAGGCACCCAATTTACCAATTGTTTTATTTTTATTTTATTTTGCGTTGGTTGTAAAAAAAAAAAAAAAAAGAATTTGATAAAAAAAAACTTGAATTGAACAAATTTGATTTTTTAAGCGCATGTGCAAAATTTGTGAACATAAAATTTAAGAAAAATTGTCAATAAAAACTTGTAACGCACAGCGCATGTGGCTAGTGGGCGTGGCAGCTAGCATTTCTGTTTTTTGCTCTTGCCTTGGCGCATGAGAAATTTAATAAAATTATTTACAAAAAACTTGGGCAAGGCAATTTTATTTTATTTTTTTTAGCTCAGCTGCCAGCGCAGTTTTTAAATTTCTTTCTTTTTTTTTTATTATAAGAAATTAAATGCTTTGTGAATTTTTTATAGTTCGTTTTTTTTTTTTTTTGTATTTGTTTTTATATTTTTTGTTTTTGTTTTATACTATTTAAATTGTTGCAGGTACTTTTGGTTGCGGTTTTTGTTGCTATTGTTGCTTTGTAGTTTGTTTGTTTGTTTTGTAGTATTGCAGCTATTTTTTTTTTTATTTTTAAATTAAATATGTTGCTTTTGTTTCTTTGTGTTTTTAAATAATAATTGTGAATTATATTTTGAAAATACATAAACAATTATTTTGTGTATTTTTGTTTCAGCTACGGCACCAATCAAAAACGTTCAAACTTTATTTTTATTTTATTTTCGTTTTAAGCTTCACTATTTTGTTTATATATATATAATAGTTTATTTTTTATATTTATTTTCTTTCATTTAATTAGCACCCTGAAAACGATTTTTCAGCCGGTTTGCGTTTGCTTTAAATCTTGTTGTAGTTATTGTTGTTGTTGTTTTGTATTCAAAATAAATTAAAAATATTTAATTTAAATTGTTGTTTGGTCTCTTGTTTTTACGTTTTTCTTTTGTGATTGTTGTTTGTAAATAAATTTTAAAATTTTTTGTATCAAATACTGCAGCTGTGTGTGACTGTGTGTGTGTGTGTGTGTGTAGGTGTGTGTTTCTTTAAATTTAGTTTTAGTTGTTAGTTGTTAGTTTTAGTTTTTAGTTTAATTTATATAGTAAACATTTTGCCCAGTTTTGGGTCTTTTTTTCTCTCTTTGTTTTGTTGGTCTCCGAGGGCAACGACAGTTGCAACAGTAGTCATATCTTCGTCTTCTTCTTCTTCTTCTTCTTCTTCGGGCGATCATCTGGTTGTTCATGATCCTTTGGCGCGTAAACGTTTATCATCATCTTCTTCATTATCATCACTCATTATCAATCACTCATTGTTAGGCTTTAAATTCAAGTTGTGGGGGGCGGGTCTAATTTATATTTAATTTATTTTTTTGCTTTGTTGTTTTCTTCTTCTTTTGCTCTCAGCTTTACTGCTCGCTTGCATTGGGCGTGGAGCTCATGGGCGGCGGGCTAGTGGGCGTGGGCGTGCGTGGCTGCTCGTGGCTGGGTGGCGTGGCATTGTAGAGTCTCAGCTGCTGCTGCTGCTGCTGCTCAGACTCCTGCTCCTGCTCATGCCCCTCCAGCTCCTCCTCCTCAGCCTCGCTGTCGCTCAGCGGCTCAATCTTGGGCTCGACAACAACCAATTCGGACTCGGGCTCGATTTCAGTTTCCGTCTGCTCATCGATGTCCATGGCTGAGAACTTGCTTAGCTCGCTGGCCTCGGCATCGCTGGCATCGGTGCCCGTTGTTGTTGTTGTTGTTGTCGTATTTGCTGTGGTATCCATAGCCTCAGCCGCTGCCGCCGCTGCCTCAGCCTCAGCTCGCTGTTGCTGCTCCTGCTGCTGTTGCTGCTGCTGCTGCTGCTGTTGCTGTTGCTCCTGCTCAGCAGCCATAGCTGCCTTGATTTGCATGGCCAGCTCCTGATGCACCTGATGCTGCCGCTGCACAAAGCTGAGCAGTCCGCTAGCTGCTGCCGCTTCGCTCTCATCGACGCCCCCGCCCATGCTGCTACCCACGACTCCACTGCCTTCTCCTCCTCCTCCTCCGCCACCGCCACTTGTTTCGCCCGCGGTTGCCATCGCATCCCGCCTCTGCATGCACTTCTCCAATGCCATTTTGAGTGATTTACGTTTACGCTGCTTCGCCGCCTCCTTGCTCGCATTTATGACTACTGCTGCCGCTGCCGTTGCGGCTGCTTCCTATGGTGAATGATTGGCCGCCGCTGCTGCCGCCGCCGCTGCCGCCACATGGGCCGGCGCAATTGTGGCGCCCGCTGCCAGCCCAATCTCCTGCTTGTGCTCCCGCGCTATATGCCGCCGCACCGTGTTGTTGCGCGTGAAGGTACGCTCGCAGAACGGGCAGGGCACTCGGATGCCCTGATGCCGCTGCCGGATGTGCGCGCGCAAGTTCGTCTCGTAGCCGTAGAGACGGTCGCAGTACAGACACTTCAGCTTCTTGCCGTCGGCCGTATTGACGCTGTTCTTGTTATTCATTTTCGTTGCATTCCACACGTTCAACATGTCGGCGGGCGCTATCGAAGCGGCCAAATTCCCAGACAGCGATCCGTCCGCATTCTTCAGGTTCTCCAGCAGCGTGTTCGGTGTCGTCGACGAGGTGTTCGAGTTCGGTGGCGGCGGCGAAAAGTTCGAGTTCTCCAGCTTCACACGCAAATCCTCGGCGCCATTCTAAGGTTAAAATGAAAAAAAGTTTGAGATTTACATTAGAATCTGTTCTATGGATAGAGAAGCAGAGAGAGAAATAGGGGTTTTCTATTCATACATCTGTTGACTCGTCCATCAGCTCGCGTTCATCATCATTGGCCTCGTTGGCGCTGCCATTGTTCCGCTCCGATTTGACAATGCGATCCAAGCTGCTCGGCGCATTTCCATTGCCTGCTGTGGTGCTCGGACTGTGGTTCTCATAGCGGCTGCAAGAACGTTTAGAATATTGATGGATTTTAATGAAATACTGCATATTCTATTGAAATGTATAGCCGATATTCCATATATAACAAAAATCAAAATTGTATAAAATACAGACGAGACTAGCTTCAAAAATTGGAGACTCTAGCTATCAAGATGTACGAGATATAATCTTAAAATTGAATTTTGACAAGACTATTATTTGATAACATTAAAACGGTTATAGTTATCGATTATTTGAAATAAGCATGATGCATGTGTGCCATATAGCGACCTACAAACGAAATTGCAAGTCTCTAGCTCTTACGGTTTTCGAGATCGAAGCGTGCAAACATACGGACAACTGAACGATCGCCTGAACCGAGGACTAAATGGAATTAGCTCGTCATTTTGCTGCAAAACTTATATAATTTATCCACTCTTCCCACTTCCGCCTATTATACTCACTCAAAAATTTCTCCTATTCAAGTTGGATTATATCTATATCGCACTAACCTGGACTGTGGCGATGCACGTTCGGAGTGCATTGTGTCCGCCTCGGTGGGCGCTGTTGAGGAGGCGCTGGATGAGGGTCGATGGTAAGGCGGCTTGTTGATGGGACTGGGGCACTCCGAGGAGTTCTTGGAACCATCTCGCAGCACGCTGCCGCGCAGCTCTTGCTCGGCGTAGGGGCTGCGCAAGGCACGCTTGCGCAGCGGCTCGTTGAAGGACATGGGACGGTTGTACATGGGCGGCACATAGCCGGACATGCCGCCCAGGCCGCTGCCGTGGCTCGGATGCATCAGTGACTCGCATTCCTGCTTCAAGTTGCCCGTCGAGCCGCCCAAATGCATGGGGGTGCCAGCGCCGCTGCCCATGCTGATCGAGCCTCCCGAGACGCCCGCTACGCCGCCGGAGCCAACGCCGCCGGGACCGCCATTGCTGCTCGATCCGGGTCCGGCGCCTGCGCTGAGAGGTCCGCTTATGATGTTGCCGCCGGCACTGCCGCAGCGATCGGCCAAGGCGCCCGCACTGGCCGCCAAGGCGCTCAGCCCGCTGGCCGCGGCGCTCGCCGCAGCAGCCATGCCACCGGCGGCTGCCATGCCGCTCAAAGCGCCCGCCAGGCTGAGGCCGTTGCCATTGGAACCACCTCCACCTCCGATGACACCTGGGCCAACACCACCGCCTCCTCCATTGCCACCTCCACCATTGCCGCCGCCGCCGCCAGCGCCGGCTCCTGCTCCGCCTCCTCCGCTGCTGCCGCTCAAACTGTTTCGCATGCTGCGCCGTCCAGTGGGCGAGTCCAGGGGCGAGCTGTCGCCCATGTGTTGCTGCTGCTGCGCCTGCTGCGCGGCCAAACGGCCCGTCTCTGTGGACAGACCCTTGACCTGGAATGGCATCGAGATTACATTTATATTGAAGACTCGTTCTGGCTAATGCGACTCACCTGTAGACTCTCGGCGGATTTGAGAAAACTGTTGAGCGCCTCCTGCGAGACGTGCACCTCGCCTTTGTACATAAACTCCAGCAGCGCGGCCATGTTATCCGGCGTGGTCGCCTCCAATATGATGACGCATTGGCCATTTGTGGGCGTGTTCTCGAACAGATCGGCGAACTTTTTCGAGCAGGCGGCCAGGATTAATTTGTGTGCTCTAAATACAGCGCCTGGAAGAGAGAGAGAGAGGGAGAAATTGTTATTATTCTGAAAATGCGAGATTTATTGAAGAGAGAATTTAGAGAATTTTGGGAGAGAGTTTAAGAGCGAGTTACGATTATTAATATAAGTATAATTTGTAATAGAAAGAGAGTGATTGATAAAAAGAACCTGACTGAAGAGAGAGTTAAGAAAGCGTTGCACTCCTCCAGGGCTTTATAGAAGTCCTTAAATAATCTAAGCATAAGATAAAGAAAAGATAAAAAAAATAATAATAGGCTATTCTGCCTAGATAAACAGAGAGACAGATAGAGAGCGAGAGAGAGAGAGGGAGAGAGAGAAATAATGAGCAAAATTATTGAGGAAGTGAAATTGGGAAGGACACACAGAGAAACGAGAAAGCGAGGAAAAAAGAGAGAGATATTGCAGAAAAAACGAGAGTAGGTGAGAGAGAGCAGTATAACAATAGCAACCAAAGGTACAGCGAGAGTGAGAGAGAATGTAAATTTCAAACTAAAGGTTCTGTTTTACCCAAGGCATTTTGGCACTTAATGCCGAGCTAAGAAATTAAAGCATATTTTGCTGCTCTCAGCCTGTGGCCAATAAATGCGGGCAACAGCCAAAAGGTGGCGCCCGCAAAGCGTTAAACGCGCCAAAGACCTTGAACTCGGAAAAATCATGTCACACACATATACACAAGCAGATAAATATATATGTGTATATGTGTATATATATA